GTTTTATCTTTCACTGACAGTTGTGTTCAGGAGTTCATGCATAAAAATAGAATGTGAACTACTCTGCTGTAGCTTCATTAAATGAAGGAGAAATCACACTTCCTGTTTTTGTGACCCAATTTATAACACCAATATATTCCAAGATAATTTGCTTGGAGAAAACCATTACCATGCCAAAGGCGCCTTTTCAGGATGTCCTGATATTAACACTTGGCTAGAGACCTTTCACCAGCACGTTTTACCTTATAGAAATGTTTTTCTTTTTTTTTTCCCCAGATTGATGCTTCCTTTTCTTCCTACTGAAAATATTGCCCTCAAAGATACCATTATAGATTTTACTAAGATTCCAGAAATCATGGGGTAGAAAAATTGTTTCTGAATCTCAAGAAGGGTATCCTAATAATTAGCTTTAAACTTGTAACTTATTGAGAATGAGATGTGACTCGTAAAAATAACAAGGAAACAAAAAGGGAAATCAACCAATTGACCAATGAGTGTTTATTAAGTACCACTTTGTACCAGATTATGATAGGCATTTAAAAAAAAATTTTTTTTCAGGCAATTGGGGTTAAATGACTTGCCCAGGGTCACACAGCTAGTAAGTGTTAAGTGTTTGGTCTGAGGCTGGATTTGAACTCAGGTCCTCCTGACCTCAGGGCTGGTGCTCTATCCACTGCACCACCTAGCTGTCCCTATTATAGGCATTTGGCATTGTAGTGGATAGACAGTTGTCCTCAGATCGAGGAAAAAAACCTAGATTACAGTCTCACCTTTGAAATACATGAATAGTATGAACCTGAACAAGTCATTTAACTTCTCAAAATAACCCTTTAAGACTTTTAAGTGGCAAAGAAGGTGCTGATCTGCATTGATAGATGGAATATTCTCATTTAAAAATTCCCCTTATTAATGAAATCACAGGTTTGGTCCCTAACTTCTACGTGCCATTAGTCACTGGGGATTTAGAAACAAGTGTGAAATATTTCTTGTTTACAAGGAGTTTATCTGTTCTGGAAAAAGTAACACATATGTTGTTCATGGGGAATAATAAAAAGTCCAGTTTGACTACACCAAGACCTGCATAAAACAGAGTATGGTATAATAAGTACATCTAATGAGTAATAAGACAGTTAGATTTGGTCCAGGTTGTGAAAGACTTGATTTAAATGCCAAAGAGATGAGTTTATATTTAAGCCTAGAGGCAATAGGGATTTTATTGAGTAGGAAAGTGATATAATTAGACCAAGGTTTAAGGAGAATCACTTTGCTAGCTGTGGAAGGATTACCAAGGGCTGAGCAACTTAAGGCAAGAAGATGAATTAGAAGGCTATTATAATAGTGGATGAGACCACAGAAAGAACTGATGGAGTCTGAATACAGATTGAATCATACTATTTTCACTTTCTTTGTGTTTTTTTTCATGGTTTCCCCCCCTTTTGTTCTGTTTCTTCTTTCACAACATGACTAAAGAGGAAACATGTTTTACGTGATTGCACCTGTATAACCTATATCAGATTACTTGCTGTTTTGGGAAGGAGGGGGAAAGGAAGGATAAGAATTTGAAACTCAAAATCCTATAAAAAATGAATGTTGAAAATTGTCTTTCCATGTAATTGGAAAAAATAAAATACTATTTAATTTAAAATGAAAACAAATAGTGGATGAGAGGTGAGAAGCACATAAACTTGGATAGTATCTGTGTTGTAGAAGAAGAAGACACAGATTAAAGATGCTATAAAGGTAGAACTGACAAGATTGGTATCTAACTTGATTGGAAGGTTGAGTCAAAGTGAGGAGTCAAGGATGATGACACTGAGATTACAATGGCAGATGGATGACTAGGATGGTGGTTCTCTCAATAATAATAGGGAAGTTTAGAATTGAGCCAAGTTTGTTCTCTTTCAGATTTTTGAGATACCTACAGGACATTTAGATTGAATAAGCCAAACTGATTAATACATTTTTTGAAAAAATCAAAGAGAAATCAACTTATACATTTAACAACCAGGATATAGACATATATGTGTATATGTACATATATTTTCATAGAGGAACATAATAGAATTTTATGTATATGTCAATTAGAATCAGCAAGTAAATAGAGGAATATCAAGGAATTTAGAGAGACTATTATGGAAAAATGCAAGACAAAAAAAGGAGAAGCAAAAGAATGGAGTTTGCTTTAATTATGACTATATAAAATGAAAAGTGAATGAAAATGAATGTACAAAGAATCCTAATAAGGACATAAAGCAATGACTGAACATTTTTAGTGATACTTTATACATTTCAATTAATTGATTTAAATATATATATAATTACTAAGTGGGGTTTATATGGTTACATTGATGTTCAATAATAAGTTTTCAACTAAAATATTTTACATATATAGTGAGATAATAGAAAACATAGAAAGACAAATACATACACTACCCCCCCCACATATATGCACACACACACATATGCTTTCTTTTTTTTTTTGATTTTTTATACTATATTCCCTTTACTTATTTCCCTCTAGGATCCTCTGGAAATTCAAAGCTGACCTGGATACTTTGTGGATTTCCTAGAATGGATGCAGGTACCTGTCTAAGCCAGTGTCCCCTTGGGGTTCAGCTACATTAACGTGGGCTACCTACTAGCTAAGGAGTTCTGATTGGGTATTCAGAAGATCTGAATTCCAATCTTACATGGAGCTGCATGAGGTTGGCCATTCACTTGATCTCCATGGGACTATTTTCCCCTTTGTAAAATGAGAGAAGTTGAACTAAATGATCTCTAATTTTCTTCAAACTCTGAAGCTATTTCTACTTCTAGCTTGTATCCACTGTGTGTTTATGCTCTTCCTTTTGCACCCTGCTAGATGAGTACCTTTGAGATGACAAGCTGTTTTAATATGAGGCTACAACATTGTGAAAAAAAATCCCATAGCACTGAGTCAAGCCAGTATTCAAAATTTCCATTTGTTTAATTTCAGAAACTCCTACTTTTCTCCAAGAGAACAAGTAAAGCAAGAGATCGACATTATTCCACCTTTTTATTTTTGGCTGCTATGATTACATCAATGACTGGGTAGATTTAGCCAAGTTATGCTTACATAGATCAGCTGAGTGTAAAACTTTCCATTTGAATGACCTCTTAGCAAATGTTCAATCCAAACAACAGTAAGGTATTTTTCCTAGTACACAAAAGGCCAAGAAACCTTCATATCAGTCTCATAACAGTTCTAGAAAATGCTAATTCTTGGTAAGAGGGAAATGAGGACATTCCAACCATATGGAACAGAGTAAGAAAAGGCACAGGGGCAGGAAAACACAACATTCTTACAGGGAATAGAGAGTAATTCGTTTTACTCCAGTGATCATTACATAGAGAAATCAATTCAAGTCAAGAAGCTTTTTATTAAGTGCTTATTTAGTGCCAGGAACCATGATAAGTGCTGGTAATACAAAGGTAAAAGAACAGTCCCTGATCTCAAGGAGCTCAGTCTAATGGGAAATACAATGTGCAAACAACTACATACAAACAAGATACATTTTATATTCAGTACTGAAGGTAATAAGAAGCTTCTGAAGGTTGTTAAATGGGAAGCGGTTGTGACATGTCAGACCTGTACTTTTAGGAAGATCACTTTGATAGTTGAATGAAGGATGGACTAGAATATGAAGATACTTGAGGCATAGAGGCCAACAGAAGGTTATTGTAAGAGTCCAGACATGAGGTAATAACGTCCTGTACATGGAGGTGTAGTGTCAGAGGGAGTACGACAAGTAATGTTTTGAAGATAGAATTTAGCTCTGCCTACCTGTACGATTTTGAACAAACGTGTTTCCTTTAACATTCATTCGTTTCCTTTGCATGTGAAACCTGTACTCCTCATTGAGTTTTGATGACAGTTAATGGGTTTAGATATAAGCCCATCAATTAATTAACAAAGTATTCAATTAATAAGGTACTTAATTAAGTAATAAGGTGCTTTGAGAACTATCTTATTGTAGCATCCACCTCTTCGTGACCCTGTGGACCATATTGTCCATGGGGTTTTCTTAGCAAAGACACTGGAGTGGTTTGCCATTTCCTTCTCCAATGATTAAGACAAACAGAGGTTAAGGTAATTAAATTGCCTAGGGTCACACAGCTATCAAGTGTCTGAAGCTGGATTTGAACTCAGGTTTTCCTGACTCTAGGCCCACCTACCTGCCTCCTAGGCAAACAGAGGTTAAATGACTTGCCTAAGGTCATTCACTAAGCCATCTAGCTGCCTCTAGTCTTAGCAAGGTGAATAATATGCAATAAGGCTGAGAAAAACATAGTGTGTATCATACCATAGAGGGCTTTGAATTCAAGGCAAAAAAAGAAATTGGGGCAGCTAGGTGGTACAGTGGATAGAGCACTGGCCCTGGATTCAGGAGGACCTGAGTTCAAATATGGCCTCAGACACATAACACTTACTAGCTGTGTGACCCTGGGCAAGTCACTTAACCCCATTGCCTAGCCAAAAAAAAAAAAATTGAACTTGGTATAGAATAGTGAATCAGAAGAACTGAGTCATGGTATGGTTGGATCTATACATAAAGTAGATTAGTCTGGCAGTACTATAAAAACTGGATTAGAGAGGCAAAAGAATAGAGAGAGTAAGAGTTGTTAAGAGGAAATTTAAATAGTCCATGTCCTTGGCAAGGAGACCCTATCCTCACATTGGAAGCTGGGGTAATGAAAAGGAGCGGATAGGTGTGAAAGACATTATGGAGGGACAAAAAGACATAAATTGCTGAAACTTTGGGAATGAGAGGCAAAGGAGTGGGAAAAGTCAAAGATAGCCTTTCAAAAGAGGAATAAGTAGTAATGCTAAGGGCACTAGACTTAAAGCCAAGAAGGACCTGGATTTGAACCTCATTCTGAAACTGCTTAGCTATATGACTATGGGCAGTCCACTTAACCACTCTAAGCCTTAGTCTCCTCATCTGTAAAACGCAATGAATAATACCGGTAGTACTTACTTGCCAGAGTCCAGGTCTAGGACCTCCTTGAAAAACTTCCCAGAGTAAAAAAGAATCACAGAAACTTTGTTCAACTGGTAAAAGTGTTCCGCCATATATTTCCCAGAGTGCTTGGGTTTCCATTTCCTTTGCTCTTGGAGAACCTTCTGCCTAAGATCTTACTGCGGGCTCAAAAGGAAGAATAGAAGCTCTCCCAGATCTCTAGAATTTTCCTGCTGCTTTACAGGGAATGAAAGATGAGTGTGAAGTCCCTGTTAGCCCAAGCACAAGATGAAAAGCATGAATTGAAATCTATTTGTAGCATCAGAGAGGTGGGAAGGCTCCAAACTCATAGAGGACAGACCAAAGCAGCACAAACTGGAAACAACCAAAGGAAGGGAGGAATACAGATAAGATCAGGGTGAGATAAAGCAGATTTTCAGTCCCACAGTTACTTTATCTTCCTGCTTCTTCTGAGATCTCTTCTAAGGAAATTCCCAATATTAAAAAAAAAACCAAACTGCCCTAAACTTTTTGCCTCCTGCCCCCCTCAAACCAGCTGAGAGGAAGAATGAGATAACCAGAAAAAAGAATTGACTGTGTCTGCAGTGGTATTGTCATTTGCTATTTGAAGCATTGTTTCATTAGTGCATAGTCATACATCAGATGCTATTAATAAATACATGGCCATCAACATTGAACTGGCAGATCTTATTAGTCTGGGTGGTGGCATGATTGAGGGGATAAGACAAGCCCACTGAAAAAGGAAGCTTAAGCTAAGTGACAAGAAGTTTTTATATGTTTTGACAATATTTTCCAGACCACTCCCCCTAAACTACAACTTGTCAGGGAGAGCATGCATTTATGAGTAGCTGGTCTGCCATCTGGTGGTCAAATAATATATCATGCCCTCCCCCAACCATACATCCCACTGTCCCCTCCCATAAACTGTTTAAGTAACTGATCATCAGATGAAATCTGCTCTCTCTGAAATAGCAGAGAATGAGAAAAGAAGCCTGAGGTAGGTCACAGTTGTCATTAAAGGCACCTTTAGCTCACCATCTAGCTCTATCCCCTATTAGAGTGATAATGTAGGCAAAGGGTTTTATAGATCGTGAAAAGCTATATGAATGTCAGTTATAATAATTATTGTAACACTACCATTTTGAACATGGGAAGCTTGGATAATAGTGGTGCCACTGGCAGAAATAATATGTCAGAAATAGATTTAGGAGGAAGGATTATAAACTTGGTTTGGGAAATGTTGACTTTTAGGTGATAGTAGGTCAACCAAGCAGAGATATCTTGTAGACAACTAGAGGTGTAGATTTGGAGCTGAGATGAGAGGTCAGAATAGGAGATCAGAAGCAAGGGGCTACCTGGGTAGAAGTGATGATTCAGGCCAGAGAAGTTCATAAAATTGGTTATAGCAAAAGCAAATGATGTAAATGATCAAATGATGGCTCTATCACTTAACTACCTGTATGATCTAGAATAAGTCTCTTACCTTCTATCAATGATCTAGAATTCTTCTACGATTTAGAATAAGTCTCTTAACTTCTACCAATCATGGTTTCATTACTGGTGCAGGAAACCATTCCCATTGATAATTTTCCCAAACAGTTAGGAAAGAGTGTGAAAGTGACTTCGTTTCATTTCCAAGATATATGAAGACTGATTCATATTTATAAGAATAACAGTCATTCAATAATTGATATATGGTCAAAGGATATAAACAGGCAGTTAGGAAAGAAATCTAAGCTATCTTTAGCCATGAAGGTGGGGAATGCTCTAAATCACTAATAATTAGAGAAATGTAAATTAAAGTAATTATAAGGTTCCACTTCATACCTTTTAGATTGGCAAAGCTGATCAAAAGTGACAAATGTTGAGGGATTATGGGAAAACAGTTATACTAGTATGATATTGGAGCTGTGAATTGACATAGTCATTCTGGAAAGCAATTTGAAGCTATACCTCCAAAGTAATAAAACTATACATACCCTTTGACCCAGTATTACTATTAAGTCTATACTCCAAAGAAAGTATAGGACTCCAAAGGAGTATAAGTCTATACTATAAAAAGATCCTATATGTACAAAAATATTTATGGGAGAAGTTTTTATAGAGGTAAAGAACTGAAAACTAAGGGGGAGCCTATAAACTGGGGAATTACTGAAAATATTATTGTCTATAAACGTCATGGAAAACTATTGTGCTGTAAGAAATGATGGAAGTGTGGCAGCTTGGTGGCACAGTGGATAGAGTACCGGCCCTGGATTCAGGAGGACCTGAGTTCAAATACAGCCTCAGACACATAACACTTACTAGCTGTGTGACCCTGGGCAAGTCATTTAACCACATTGCATAGCTCCCCCCCCCCAAGAAAAGAAAAGAAATGATAAAAGAGACAGTTTCATTGAAACCTGGGAAGACTTAAATGAACTAATACGGAATGAAATGAGCAGAACCTGCAGAATAATTTACAATACAAAAACAACATTGTAAAAAACAAACAATTTTGAAGGACTTAAGAACTCTGATCAATGCAATGATCAATCATGATTCCAGAGGAGTGATGATGAAGAAAGCTACTGATCTTTTGACAGAGAGGTGACAGACTCAAGATGCAGAATGAGACATGCATTTTTGGACATATGTTAATTTGGTAATTGGTAAAGAAAATAAATATTTGATAATAAAAATGTTACTGAGAGTTTGAAGCTTGAAAAGGGGTAGCAGAAACAGATACAACCATGGCAACAAAAGAGCTTTCTCTTCCTATCCACATACCTGTGGTGCTAGGTTGGAGAATATCCAGTACACTAATTTCCAGAGGAAGCTAGACTTTGGTGTGAACTGGAAAGTCCTAAAAAGATTGTAAATGGGAGGCTTGGGTCAGAGAAAAAGGAAACAACTTAAAGGTACGATTGGTGGCAACCAGCACACATACTACCCTGTTCAGTAAAAGAAAATGGAAAGTGCAATAACTTCAAGTTAAATGGAATGACTCACTGTTATACTCCCCTACTCTTGCAGTGTGTGGAGAAGGCAGTTTTACTAAGCAAATGAATTTCATTATGGTCTTTCTCTTATGACTTACAAGAATGAAGAATTAATTAAATTGTTAACCGTTGATGAAAGAAGGATGAATGATGGAAACAATACTGGTTCTGGAAGGGATGGGAGTGGCTGGTTGGTAGGGGTGGAGTCAATAAGTGATTGACAGGTGTTATTAGAGAAAAACAAAGGAAGTAACAAAAGAGGGATAGTACAATTTTTCTAGGCGAAGATTCTGACCGCTGTACCTATAAAATGAGGGGGTTGGACTGGATGATTTCTAATGCCCCCCCCATCTCTAAATTTGGCAATCCTATGAGAAGCCATTAAAAGAACAGAGATGGAACAATTAGAGAGATAGGAGGAAAATCAGAATTTTTTTCCCCCACCAAAGCAAAGGAAAGTCAAGTCTCTGCTAAAAAAAAAAAGAGCAAAAATGTGCACTGATGCAAGACGATTAGGGAAAAAGACTGAAAAATGTCTTTGACAACTATACTATCATTAAAATTTGAGAGAGAATTTTTAGTCGCATTGAAGGGCAAACACTACAAATTACAAGGAATTAAGGAAAGTTAAGGGCAGCTAGATGATGCAGCAGATGGAATGCTGAACCTGGAGTCAAAAAAACACCTTCCCAAGTTCAAATCTGGCCTCAAACACTTACTAGCTGTGTGACCCCCGGGCAAGTCACTTAACTCTACTTGCCTCAGTTTCCTCATCTGTAAAATCAGCTAGAAAAGGAAATGGCAAACCACTCCAGTATCTTTGCCAAGAAAACCTCAAATGGGGTCACAAAGAGTTGGACATGACTGAAAAACAGCTGAACAAAAGGAAAGAATAAATGATGGCTAACTGGAGACACCAACTTCATACTTTCCAAGGGGGTTAGCAGTGAGGGAGAGGAAAATTGGTAATTATAGCTAACTAAAGTATAAGAGTGTGAGGGGAAGCCTTTTTAAGAAAAATTCTCTAGAACAGTGAGGCAGCGCAGTAGATAGAACACTGGCCTGGATTCAGGAGGACCTGAGTTCAAATCCAGCCTCAGATACATAACACTAACTAGCTGTGTGACCCTGGGCAAGTCACTTAACTACATTGGTTTTATTTATTTGTATGACACTTTTTTGCCTAGCCAAAAAACAGAAAACAAAACAAAAAAAAAAAAAGAATTCTTGAGAAATGAGCATCATTGAGGCAGGTAGGTAAGAAGTACTAAGAAGAGGGAAAATCTGAGATTGCAGAAGTTATGATAAATGGAGCAAAAATCCTAGAAGACACAGAAAGAATTGGGATCAAAGACTGAATTTGAGATTAGGTTTAATGAGGGGCAAGAAATAAAGTTAAGAAAATCTGATAGCAAAACAAAGAGAGAGAATAGTTTTCTTTCTTTTTTGTTCTTTCTATGCTCCCCTCCCTTTTCCTGCTTTCATTTATTCCTTCTGCACTGGTCATTTTGGCATACTATTGGTAGGATTCTAGAAACTTAAAGCAATGAAAAATTGGCCAGCATGGACATTTTCAGTTAACTCATTTTACGTTCAGCAGATCTTTGAACAAAGTCCTCTTTGATCACTCCAAGCTGATGTCAGTTCTCTTTCCTTAGAGTTTCTATATAAATTATTTTCTCTACCATTCATTTGGAAATTAACCAAGGGCATATACTTTTAGGATGCCAGAAATAAAAGAAAAGTTCTCATCGTTTTTTTAAATGTTTATTTTTCTTTGTCACATTTTGAGTTCTGAACTATCTTCCTCTCTCTCTTACAACCCCATAGTAGGGAAGGCCAACATTTGATACAGATACAGATACACCCACACACACACACATTACATACTTCCACATATCAGTTCTTATTTTTGGAGGTGGTTAGCATCTTCCTTCATGGGTCCTTTGAGACTGATCTGAATACCCATATTACTCAGAATAGCTTAGTCATTCAGTTACTCTTCAAACAACATTGCTTGCTATATACAACGTTCTCTTGGTTCTGCTCATTTCACTCATCATTATTTCATGAAAGTCTTTCCATGTTTTTCTAAAATCAACCTGCTCATCATTTCTTATAGCACAGTAGTATTCCATCACAGCCATATGCCACAGTCTATTTAGCCATTCCCCAATTGATGGACATCCCCTCAATTTCTTTTGCCACCACAAAGAGAGCTGCTACAAATATTTTTAAACATACAGATTCTTTTCCTTTTTGCCTGATCACCTTGGGAAACAGACCTAATACTAGTATTGCTGGGTCAAAGGGCACATACAGTTTTATAACTATTCAGGCATAATTCCAGATTGTTCTCCAGAATGGTTAGATCAATTCATAGTTTCCCTAACAGTGTATCAGTGTCCCAATTTTTCCATATCCCCTCCAACATTTGTCATTTTCTTCTTCTATCATTTTTGCCAAACAGATAGGTATGAGATGGTATCTCAGAGTTGTTTTAATTTACATTTTACTAATCA